GTGTCAGACGGCCATACACACACAGGAAGACATCCACACACACAGAGGCAGGCAGTCATACACACAGGCAGACAGCCAAACAAACACACACAGGCAGACAGTCACACACACACAGGCATACAGTCATACATACACACACACAGACACACAGGCAGACAGTCATACACACAAACATATACACACAGGCAGACATTTATACACACACACACACACACACAGGCAGACAGTCATACACATAGACAGACACACACACACACACAGGCAGACACACTCACAGACACACAGGCAGACAGTCACACTCACACTGACAATCACACAGTTACCTGTGGAGTTCATTGTGGAGGCAGTGCAGCTCCTGGAGACTGTTTGGTGAGGAAGCAGGGACTCCTTCCTGCTTTTGCTGCAGCAGTTATCCGGCGCTTTTAGCTCCGCCCCCACCGTACGGGAAGCACACCACTAATGGCTGTGTCTTTAAGAATATTTCAAATGTAAAATGGTGTAAACACACTTGTTTTCTTTCAAGCAATAAAGGTGCATCTGAATTGCTATAGTGTCTTTGTACAACACTTAGTACAGTGCCAATAATGTGCAGTACCTTTGCCAAAATCCATATAGTGAGAAATTAAAACACTTACAATAATGAGTTGTTTAAATTGTAGGCACCTATGTATTATCCAATAAAGCTCAAAGACAAAGTACTGAGAATGGTTTTTACTAGCTTTTTATGCAAATAAAGGATTGTGAGCATACCAATTGCTGGCATCATTCCTGCACTGCTGACCCATTAAGGGGTCTATCTACATTGAAAAGTTAGAGCAGGCTCATCTGCTTTTCATTTGTGAGTGTTTCTTCGCATAATTTTAGCACAAATACTTCTTCTATACAGAATTACACTACAGGGAGTGCAGAATTATTAGGCAAGTTGTATTTTTGAGGATTAATTTTATTATTGAACAACAACCATGTTCTCAATGAACCCAAAAAACTCATTAATATCAAAGCTGAATATTTTTGGAAGTAGTTTTTAGTTTGTTTTAGTTATAGCTATGTTAGGGGGATATCTGTGTGTGCAGGTGACTATTACTGTGCATAATTATTAGGCAACTTAACAAAAAACAAATATATACCCATTTCAATTATTTATTATTACCAGTGAAACCAATATAACATCTCAACATTCACAAATATACATTTCTGACATTCAAAAACAAAACAAAAACAAATCAGTGACCAATATAGCCACCTTTCTTTGCAAGGACACTCAAAAGCCTGCCATCCATGGATTCTGTCAGTGTTTTGATCTGTTCACCATCAACATTGCGTGCAGCAGCAACCACAGCCTCCCAGACACTGTTCAGAGAGGTGTACTGTTTTCCTCCTTGTAAATCTCACATTTGATGATGGACCACAGGTTCTCAATGGGGTTCAGATCAGGTGAACAAGGAGGCCATGTCATTAGATTTTCTTCTTTTATACCCTTTCTTGCCAGCCACGCTGTGGAGTACTTGGACGCGTGTGATGGAGCATTGTCCTGCATGAAAATCATGTTTTTCTTGAAGGATGCAGACTTCTTCCTGTACCACTGCTTGAAGAAGGTGTCTTCCAGGAACTGGCAGTAGGACTGGGAGTTGAGCTTGACTCCATCCTCAACCCGAAAAGGCCCCACAAGCTCATCTTTGATGATACCAGCCCAAACCAGTACTCCACCTCCACCTTGCTGGCGCCTGAGTCGGACTGGAGCTCTCTGCCCTTTACCAATCCAGCCACGGGCCCATCCATCTGGCCCATCAAGACTCACTCTCATTTCATCAGTCCATAAAACCTTAGAAAAATCAGTCTTGAGATATTTCTTGGCCCAGTCTTGACGTTTCAGCTTGTGTGTCTTGTTCAGTGGTGGTCGTCTTTCAGCCTTTCTTACCTTGCCATGTCTCTGAGTATTGCACACCTTGTGCTTTTGGGCACTCCAGTGATGTTGCAGCTCTGAAATATGGCCAAACTGGTGGCAAGTGGCATCGTGGCAGCTGCACGCTTGACTTTTCTCAGTTCATGGGCAGTTATTTTGCGCCTTGGTTTTTCCACACGCTTCTTGCGACCCTGTTGACTATTTTGAATGAAACGCTTGATTGTTCGATGATCACGCTTCAGAAGCTTTGCAATTTTAAGAGTGCTGCATCCCTCTGCAAGATATCTCACTATTTTTGACTTTTCTGAGCCTGTCAAGTCCTTCTTTTGACCCATTTTGCCAAAGGAAAGGAAGTTGCCTAATAATTATGCACACCTGATATAGGGTGTTGATGTCATTAGACCACACCCCTTCTCATTACAGAGATGCACATCACCTAATATGCTTAATTGGTAGTAGGCTTTCGAGCCTATACAGCTTGGAGTAAGACAACATGCATAAAGAGGATGATGTGGTCAAAATACTCATTTGCCTAATAATTCTGCACTCCCTGTATGTGTTTTTTCTCTGTTTTTTGTTTTTTTTGTCTTTGAGCTTTATTGGATAAAACATAGGTGCCTACAGTGTTAAACAACTCATTATTGTAAGTGTTTTAATTTCTCACTATATGGATTTTGGCAAAGGTACTGCACATTATTGGGACTGTACTAAGTGTTACACAAAGACACTTTAGCAATTCATATGCACTTTTATTGTTTAAGCTCCCAATGTATGTCACATTGTGTGTGATTTCCAGGATAGTGTATATGATAAAGGGATATTGCTTTATCACTGAACAGGGGCCTGGCAGGGCGCCGCAGCCCTTTAAAAACCTGACCGGGCCTCTGTAGTATAGGCTGGAAGTGAGGAAGTGACAGCTGATCCTTTCCTCCCAGCTTTATACAAAGCGCTACGCGGGAGAGAGAAGAAATGGCTGGAGGTGGCGGCAGAGGAGAGCCTTGAGTGAGTTGCTGCAGACCCTTATGCTCTCTTCCATCTGCCTCAGCCAGCATCACCAGGAACCCCAAGCAAACCACCCTGTATGCTAACTGGATTGTGCTGCAAATATAAAAATTATAATATGAATGTGTCTATGTATGTAAGATTGTGTGTGTGTGTGTGTGTGTGTGTGTTTCTGTGTGACACTGTGTATCTGAGTGTGTGTATGTGCCTGTGTGTGTATCTGTAAGCCAATATATGTATCTGTGTGTGTCCCCGTATGTGTGTGGGCCAGTCTGTGTTTTTGTGTGTCAATGTATGTATCTGAGTGTATGTGCCAGTGTCTCTATCTGAGTGTGTATATCTGTGTGTCAGTGTGTGTTTCTTTGTATGTATGTGCCAGTGTGTGTGGCTATTTGTCAAAGTGTTTGTGTGTGTATAGGCCAGTATGTTTTTGTATCTGTCAGTGTGTGTATCTGTGTGTCAATGTGTGTGCATGTGTCCAGGTGTGTGCATGTGTCAGTGTGTTAATGGTGTTTGTAAATATTTGCAATATATTGTTAAATAAATAGTTGTGTTCTGTTATAATAAAATAGCATGTCCTTGTTCACACACATTTGGTGGCTGTGTGTGGATGGGGGGGAGCATATTAACTGATGTATTTAGTTTTTGCATGTTGGTATGTCTGGATTATCCCTCTGAGAAGCATTGGGTTGACAGAGTGCAGTGATTGCCACTCATGCACCTTAGGTCCCCTATGCTAGTCTTTGAATGAGCATTGAATTAGACAGAGATCATCATGACAGATAATCTCTCACAAGGATGATGATTGGCTGCAGTGAGGAGACAGCCCCACCATTGGATTACTGGTAGGTTTCATTGCTTTTAAACTTTAAAAATAGTGTTCCTCTCCGGCACACTGAAACCTCCACCGTCCTGCAGCCACCAGCCCTATGGCGGCCCGCCTCAGGAGGTGTAGACAGCATTGGCAGCCCTGGAGAAAAGCGGTACACAGACATAGGCTGTGGAGGGGCATGTCCAAGCCCGGTCAGGGCCCTTCCAAATGGGCTGAGTTGGGAAGCAGACACCGGATTACAATGCACCACCTGACATACCAACAAAGTGCCATCTTGCCAGCTTTCACAGTGCCTGACTGGCTGACCAGCACCATTAGATGGGACTGTGCCCTGCCGCTAATGGGCATAGGTTGAGAGACAGGAAGCCTTGATCCATCCCCCCATTAATGCACACCGTCTCTTAAGATGTCTATTGCATGTCTCCAACTACTCTAAATAATCTGGACTCTCACTCCTACTACACAAAGCCCCTTGAGGTGGAAGCACATCTCTCATAATAGACACTAAGCATATTTTTCCCATGTCTTTAAGTTTTAGTTGTACTCTTGTGCCTAACCTGCTTCATCACTGTTTTATACTACCTTAAAAATTGTGCCTAAAAGTCAAATATCACATTTTGTATGAACGCGTATTCCTGAATACCTTGGTATCGCTGTTGTGGAGTTCTGAGGTAGTTTGTTTATTTGAGCAAAACAAAAATAAAGAATAAACAAAACAAAAAAAAAAATATATATATATAGTATTCCTTTAAATGGGCACAGGGACATCCCTATCCACACTACACTGATGATACAGAATTTACATCCAACCTTGACTAAATGGCTGAGAGTTCTAGGATTAAAGATATACCCAATATAAATTGGAGCAGTCTCCACTCTATTGTGTGGTGAGAGAGGAAAGGGAACAAAAACATATTAAAAATAAAGTAAACATAGAAGATAGGCAGATAAGAACCATTCGGCCCATCTAGTCTTATAGTTAGGCTAGCCTTATGCCTATCCTACGCATGCTTAAACTCCTTCACTGTGCTAACCTCTACCACTTCAACTGGAAGGCTATTCCATGCATCCACTCCCCTCTCAGTAAAGTAATACTTCCTGATATTATTTTTAAACCTTTGCCCCTCTAATTTAAGACTATGTCCTCTTGTTGTGGTAGTTTTTCTTCTTTTAAATATAGTCTCCTCCTTTACTGCCTTTACTGTGAAAAGCTCTGTAGTGGAGTGATTTATTTTACTCGTGTCTCTGTGTCACTGAATGCAGCTGCAGGTTTGATAAGCATGATCAGCATCACATGCCTGAGATGTCACACGTCACCACGTAATTACAGAATACTTGCACTATATATCAATGTGATTCTTGCCTCCCAGATCACTGCTGGAATGCTGAAGGAGAAGACAAACATCTGGAAATTTAAACTTGTGAGTAGTAGTGAGTTTAAAGGTGGATTATATGTTTCTTACCTGTTCTATGTTAAATTGTGTGTTAATATTAATTTTGTAATATTGCATCCTATTGTAACAATGCAATGTTTTGTGAACCCAGGACATACTTGAAAACGAGAGAAATCTCAAAGTATCCTTCCTTGTAAAATATTTTATAAATAAATATATACAAGGGGCCTTTATTTAAATTAGGATTGTAGAATGAATAACTTGCATGCACGAGTTTCTAATTACATTGCATAAAATAATTATATATATATTTAGTGAGACTTTTTTTTTAACTCCTTGTTTCTGGTGCTTTTTTTGTGTGAGAATGCACAAAACATTGCTCTACTACTAGTTTTATATTGGCCATCGATCTACCTACCTACCTTGTGCTTCATAACCCTCCTTATAATTCATCCCATTACTCCATATAATTCTCCCTATTATTCATCCTATTACTAAATATAACCCATCATATACCTCTTCTTATTGATTCATATAAACCTCCCTATAACTCCTCTTATTGATTCATATAAACCTCCCTATAACTCCTCCTATTACTTCATATATCCTGCCCTATAACTCCTTCTATTACTCCATATAACCCTCTCTATAACTCCTATTGCTCCATATAACTCTCCCTATAACTCCTCATATTGCCCCATATAACCCTCCCTATAACTCCTCCTATTGCTCCATATAACGCTCCCTATAACTCCTCATATTGCCCCATATAACCCTCCCTATAACTCCTCCTACTGCTCCATATAACGCTCCCTATAACTCCTCATATTGCTCCATATAACCCTCCCTATAACTCCTCCTATTGCTCCATATAACCCTCCCTATAACTCCTCCTATTGCTCCATATAACCCTCCCTATAACTCCTTCTATTGCTTCATATAACCCTCCCTATAACTCCTCCTATTGCTCCATATAACCCTCCCTATAACTCCTCCTATTGCTCCATATAACCCTTCTTAGAACTCCTCCTATTACTCCATATAAACCTCACTATAACTCCTCCTACTGCTCCATATAACCCTCCCTATAACTCCTCCTATTGCTTCATATAATCCTCCCTATAACTCCTCCTATTACTCCATATAAACCTCTCTATAACTCCTCCTATTACTCCATATAACTCCTCCTATTGCTCCATATAACCCTTCCTATAACTCCTCCTATTACTCCATATAACCCTCCCTATAACTCCTCCTATTGCTCCATATAACTCTCCCTACAACGCCTCCTATTGCTCCATATAATCTCTCTCTATAACTCCTTCTATTGCTCCATATAACGCTCCCTATAACTCCTCCTATTGCTCCATATAACCCTCCCTATAACTCCTCCTATTGCTCCATATAACCCTCCCTATAACTCCTCCTATTGCTCCATATAACGCTCCCTATAACGCCTCCCATTGCTCCATATAACCTCTCCCTGTAACTCCTCCTATTACTCCATATAACGCTCCCTATAACTCCTTCTATTGCTCCATATATCCCTCCCTATAACTCCTCCTATTGCTCCATATAACTCTCCCTATAACTCCTCCTATTGCTCCATATAACTCCTTCTATTGCTCCATTTATAACAGTTCTACCTATTTAACTCCTTTTAATGATTTTGCAAAACCCCTTCTCTAGTACCAATTCTCTATCCCTCATTCTAAAATCACGACATTGAAAACATAACAACTTTATTTAGTCTTTTCTTTTTGTAGTTTACAAGCGTATACCCCATTGTTTTTTATTGTTTTTATTGGCTGCCTAACAGTATCCTTGCTTATGTTATACATTCTGATATGTTCATCAGATTAAGAGGTTTTTAAGCGGCAGAATGTTACGGGTGGGAATTGAGTACTTCCTCTATACGTTTCACACTTCATTTTCAAATTCACTTTTTTGTTTCAGGATTGACTAACTCAATGAAGCACGGAATAAAATTAACGCCTGACTGTCGGAGAGCCCTGCCGTTTTAAAACATCAAGCTGAAAATTCAGTGGGAATTGTCTGTACGGTGGTTCTTTTAATAAGACGTGTAGTTGTCCTTGGCCGCAGATACCATAGAAAGCAAATAAAGCACACAATGTAACACGCTGCTTTCTCCCAGTAAATAATTCACCCCTCCTTTCCAGATTCTCTCCCCAAGGCTACCAGCCACCATTCAGAATACAGTCTATCCTGGAAGTGGCATTCCCATTGGTTACTTTGAAATCTGGCTGTTTTCCTATTGGCTGGCAGCAATACCCCAAATATCCTGCAAAACACAGACTGCTGTCCTGCTCAGTACGCACACACTGCTGTCAGTAAGAAATGGTAACAATAACTGGCAGCTGTACTAGTTACAGTACAAAGAACGTAGTCATGTGACTGACAGCCCCTCTGTTTCGCTTACTGTGAAATAATTAACCAGTTATCTGCCAGAACACACCGTAGCACAGGAAAGAGGTTAAAAACAATAAAAAAAAAACATGATGGCAAACATATTTGTTCCCTATCCTTCCTCTTGTATTTAGTTTTTATATTTCTACTAATCATTAATCTGCAGTTTCTTGCGTTGGTTATCTTGTGCATCATGTTTTGTATTTTGTATTTTTTTGAGTTATTGTAAAAGAGTACACACTTTCAAAAGGCAGCATCTCAAAATGTTAACATTTTGAAGCGGAACTTTCACTTTTAGGTGATTATTCCGTCCCTTACTCCAGTAAACGTTATTGAATCATTTAATGGGTTGATTAGTACAGCAGAGTTTAGTTAAAAAAAAAAAAAACTCACCTATCTCTCCCACACTTCTGTGTTTAGAGTTACATAATATCCCAATCATGCGGCAGGCGTGCTCATACTTTGCAAGGGCATGTGTGCTTGGGCTTTCCTTCACTGTGCAAATGGCACACTAGGGGTTAAATTAATTTACATGGTTCTAGCTGTGCGAGAACAGCCAAGCATGCAATTTAATTTATCAAGATAAAAACAAATTTGAATTAAAAAAAAAAAATCATTAAAAAAAATGCACATAGCTAAATTTAAATTGGATCTGTCATTTTTTTCATGATCTGGCCCCTTTGCGCATGCACATTAGGTCTTCCCTATGGGCTGACGTTGGCGGAGGAAGAGCCGACCCAGCACTGAGGGAATTTGACGCTGGAATCGGGTAAGTGAAAAAATGGTTATGTAACACTTTACTTGTTACCAGGGGAGGCTGCGAGGGGGGGGGAAGCAGAAGGGCCTTTTAGTGTTAGGAATCTTTGTGCGGCAAAACACTGTGCAACGCCAGTCAGCATCTCCACATAGTGATGCATTTAATCAATGCATCTGTATGAGGAATGTGCATCACTGGACTAGGAAGCACCTCTAGTGCCTATCTGAGTGAATGCCACTAGAGATGTTCGTAGGCAGCAATGTAAACATTGCCTTTTTCAGAAAAGGCAGTGTTACATTGAAATGCCTGCAGGGAAAGACTATAGACACCAGAACCACTAAATTGAAGGGATTCTATAGTGTTGGGAATAGAAATCTGTATTCCTTACACTATAGTTCTCCTTGGCTCCCCCTCCCTCGCTCCCACTGCCCCACATGAATATGGTTAAAAAAAATCTTTCTCATCTTACCAATTCCAGCACAAATCTCCTTTGATACTGAGTCGGCACTGCGCCTCCTTCTGCGTCATTTAACGGTGGACTAATGCGCATGCACTGCGAGTGCCTTAAGCCCTCCCATAAGAAAGTATTGCTGCAATGCTCTCCTATGTGGATTTAACTGATGCTGGATGTCCTCATACAGTGCGTGATGACATCCAGCATCAGTTGGGTGACCAAAAGTCGGTTAGCCTCCAGGAGGTGCTGTCAATCAGGCAGCCACTAGAGGTAGTCTTAGTCCTGTTATGTAAGTATTGCAGTTTCTCAAAAACTGAAATTATTATTATTAATTTATTATTTATATAGCGCCATCAGATTCCGTAGCACTGTACAATGGGTGCAATAATTTACATTGCAGTACTAAGTGGGACAGGGACATTGCACCCAGGCCATTTCAACGAGAAAGTGTCCCTTTATGTCATTCTCGGATTTCATACAAGATTATTCAACGTGAACCGTCGGGATTGAAAATGAGTTTCACATTTAAAGCCTAAGAAGTTCACCTTGCAGGCTATTTTTTCAGTTTTCTAAACTTAAATTATCTTTGGATTCACAGAAATTCACACTTTAGTGAGTAACCCCGTCATTGTGTCTGTCTATAACAGGGGTGCCCACAATGTAGATCCCCAGATTTTGTAGAACTACAACTCCCATGGTGCTTTGAATGCCTTCAGAATGCCTTTAGTATGACAAAGCATCATGGAAGCTGTAGTTTTATAACATCTGGGGATCTACCTTTTGTGCACTGCTGGCCTATAGGTATATTAACTATGCCTCTTAGTACTTAGCCTCCCTTAAGTTTGAAAGGATAAGAAAGTCAGGGTTAGCTAAATTGCTGAACCTCTTATTTCATTTTAACTCACTCGGCTAATCCAGGCATTACTAATTGATTGTGGATTGCCGAGAGGATTGACTCACAATACAGTGTGTAGGAGTTGCAATAAAATACAAGTGAGGTAAGAATTCTCTCAGATCGAAGTTTCATTGGCAACTTAAAATTGACAAGTATAAACAGGAGAACAGTGCATCCATTCTTTATTGCACTGACTGGTTTTCCTTTAAGTGATTATTAAATTATCCCGTTCACCTAGTAGCTAAAGCAGCTCTGTCACTTGTGAGTTTTTCATAAGGATGGAATCTTTTTAAAGACCTAATTTAGGCAGTAATGTGATTTCACTGGAATTCCATCACATTCCAAAGACCTCACAAGGCAAAGCAGCGATTGCCTTTTCTAACACAGGCTTCCCCAAACTCCGGCCCTCCAGATGTTGCTGGACTACAACTCCCATGATTCTATGAATGAAGTAGATAGGCTGGGAATCATGGGAGTTGTAGTTCAGCAACATCTGGAGGGCTGGAGTTTGGGGAAGCCTGGTCTAACGCATGAGCCTAATTTTGTTTAAATGTATCGAACATCAAGTTTCTACCTCCCATTTTAACAGAGCCACCACAGGTAAGCCAACTTGTGAACGGTATTTGTATTATTACGATTAAAAAATATATATTTTGGGGGGTGGGAATGCGGGCACAAGAATTACAATGCAAATATATAGAGTCAAAGCAAGTTAGTGAAGTACATCCATACAATTATTGACATACACGTCATTTTCAACAATATAGTAGGATATATCATAGCTCGAAGAAATATTGCAAAGGTATACTAGCAGGAAGGTAAATTAACAGGCTGGAGGGAATTATAGAAACTAAGAGGGGGCTAACCACAATGGTAACTAGGAAGGTTCCTAGGGGGAAAATGTGGAAAATGGGAGTTAACATATAAAAGGTAAGTCTCTACAGACAAATGCCTCTAATATGATGGTCACATGGTCACATGGTTTTGGCTGTTTTTGTCATTTGTTTTATGGTCTATCCATAGCTCTTTTCAAAAGGATTTTATAAATACGGAGAACAAAATTAGAATTGCATGTGTGCTTGGGAATAAGGAACCCACAAGCACTGTATACAATAAAAGGGACACTACAGACACCTGAAGGACTTCAGCTTGCTGTGGTGCCTTATGTGAGGAGTGTGTCCTCTTTTTTTTTTTTTGCCATTTTACAAAAAAGAGCAGAATTTCAGAAATTGACATTTCTATAAATAAACAATTTTACACCCACCTTGCTTTCAATCAGAAAACCTGTCCTGTTATTTCCTGGTTTGTTTAGCTCAGTAGAGATAGGCAATAGCTAAGAACACCTTCTTTGCAAAGATGTCTCACTGAGCTGCATTAGGAAGTCTGTGATTGGACAGCCACAGAAACTCTGGGTGGGTTAGAAGGGGAGGGCTTGTAAAGGATACAGAGAAGAGATTTGCTGCTTTTGCAATCTGTTTTTAGATAAACCCTCAATGAAACAATGTATAATTAAATAAATTGATGTTTTCATTAGAGTTATATTTACTAAATAGTAATTTTTCTTTTTTTTACATTTTGAATTAGAGCAGTTGAGTATCCCTTAAATGGGCTGGTTAGAGATAACATTAAATGAAAAGGAGTTGGAACAATCAATTATAAATAACAAACAAGGCATCAACTTGCAATGCTGGTCTGACATTGCAGAAGTTAGTAAGGTGTTTCCATGTATAAAAAGGGGTATTGAGGGGCAGGGCTGAACGCAGTAGCGAGCGGTCGCAAATCTGAGAGCTCCGGCACATAGCCACGACAATCGGTTTCCTAGCCGCCTTACCTCCAGCCATCGGGACCCGGGGAACCCCCACACAAAGCCTAACCGACATGGGGAGGAAGAATAAAAAACAAAGACCCGACAAACCAAACCTGGGGATGACGATTGGCGATATGTGGCGCCAGGCGCAGGGAGTGACGGGGCCTAAAATGGCCGCCCTCTCAGACTGTGAATCCGATTACTCGGATGACTACTCTGGCGGAATGGAGGAACAGACCCCGCGAGGGGCAACAAGACTGCAGCACAACCCGGACAAACCTGACAGCGCACCGGTGACTAAAGCGGTGCTGCAGGAACTCCTAGCAGACCTCCAGAAACATATCTCAGCTGATGTGGCAGCGGTCCGCAGCGATATACAGGGCCTCACAGGCCGCATGGGAACCCTGGAGGGCACAACCACCCAGAACACCCAGCATATAGCAACACTCCAACGGGAGATGGCAGACCTACGCACACAAAACTTGATGCACGAACGCCGCTTTGCAGCGCTGGAGGACAACAGGCGCCGCAACAATCTAAAGGTGCGGGGGGTAGCCGAGACCATTCTGGACGCGGAGTTACCGCACTTCACAAGGCGGCTGTGGGACACCTTGCTGCCATCGAAACAAGCTAGGGCAATGCAGCTGGAGGGTTTGTTCCGCATCCCAAGATCCAACAAGGCTTCAACTGCAGAACCAAGGGACCTGGTGGTCCAGTTCAGGAGTGGAGCAGACAAGACCACTGTGCTTAACGCCCTGAGGGGGAAAACCCCATACCAGTTTGAAACAATGACACTCACCTTCTACGCTGACTTATCAGGGCAAACCTTAGCCTGGCGCAGATCCCTCAAACCACTGACTGCACTCCTTCAAGAACACGATGTGAGGTACCGCTGGCGCCCCTCCCGCACGCTGCAGGTCTACCATAATGATACCACTCACCAAGTCCAAGAGCTCCAGGAAGCCACGGCCTTGCTGCACATATTGGGACTGCCTATGGACTCCCTCGACCAACACAAACTGGAGAACCAACGTACCCATAACTGGGACCCAAACCAGATCGCCCCTTTCGTTCCACAAAAGCGCACGCCAGACCAGTACGCAGCAGCAACAACTTGAACTTTGACAGGAGCTCACATCACCATACCCAGGGATAACCCCACGAACTGGATGCCCCGCTGACC